AGCATCATAGGAGCAGAGAGGCCTCTCTGCTCCTATGATGCTGCTTGGCCTGCTGTGTTCATCCAGCCCTGCACCTTGTTGTCTAAAGAGTCAGACTTGCTTAAAAGACTGGATACCCCAATATTGACAAGTGCAAAGACTGAGTGGATATGGTAACATTTGCTTATATTCATACCAGAGTTTAATTTGATCATGACACACTTGTTTTGCAATTAACATTGACTGAGTTGGAATGACATTATTCTGCCATGGAGCATCCATTATGGGGCAGGTTTGCCTGATGCTGCACCTGTGACTTTTGAGGATAGCTCGGGAGAGGGGGTTGGCTCCTCTCTGCCTAGCTTTCCTTTATGAAAGATACCGAAAAAAAAAAAGCCCCAGGTGCCTGAACAGGAAAATGTGCCTGACATGTATTCATCATTTTCTACAGTGTTATCTAACCCCGTTTCATTCCTGTCTCCCTTCCCTTTTGTTTCTCTTTTGGCTGTTCAGTGCACGTAAGCGGCCCATCCCCTACTACAGGCCCAGCCCCTCATCGCCCAGCTCCCTGAGCAGTTACAGCTCCTACAGCCGGAGCCGGAGCCGGAGCCACAGCTATGATAGTTACAGCTCGTACAGCCGGAGCCGGACTCGCAGCCGGAGCCGGACTCGCAGCCGGAGCCGGACCGCCAGCTACGACAGTCGGAGCAGCTCAGAAAGTACAGGTTTTTAGAAAGGATTAAAACAAAAGCTTCAAAAGACGCAACTAAAAGCGGACAGTCACAACTATCAACAAGAGCTGCCTGCAAGATAGTAGGCATGAAACTGCGAGTATCAGCAGTCCCAATAGACCACTGCAACCAGATTTGTATTATAACAAGTATATATTTATATCAAGATAGGCCCTGACATTCATAAATCCTTAGATCCAGGCTTATGTGTCATTCAGCACTGACATTGGTACAGACAGACATTGCAGTCTTTGCACTGCCTCCATCCTGTGTTTCTCCACTGAACATCGTTCAGGAGTTTAAAACTATTTGCCTGGTGCTGAGGTTTAAATGGAACACTTTTTTAAAAAAAAACATGAATTATGAACCTCTGCAAAAGAATTCTTCCATGAAGTCAACTGAACCAAAAGTCAGCAGTTTCTTCCAAACAGAAGACATGCAGCTATTTAAATATACATCCCCCCCACTCCCTTCCCCTCTCTGGCTGACTGAAATTTGCAGTGATCAAATTTTCAGGGGGTTCTGTGCAGATACTTGTCGAAGAGCCTCTGGACAAAGAAAAAAAAGCATCAGATGAACAAGTGGACAGGGAGGCACAGAAACTTGCTTTCCTTGGTTTCATTCAGCAAGGGCCAGCTATGAACTGCTCTCTTTCCTCCGATCCCTCCTATACTGACCTTGTAATGTTGTAAGGGGAACAATTTTAAGTCAAGACTATGGTTACAAACACAAAACTATGCACTGTAAATATAATACCAGTAGCACATGGTGGGGGTGTGGGGACAGTGTGGCTCCAAGAGTTCAATGGGGAATTGTATAACACATGCTGTACCAATACAGCAAATTATGTAGAGTTGAATTCATGCCTCTAGTTGCTTTCTGCTAGATTCTAGTTGAGGCCTACTTCAGATAGCAATGTTGGAAATGTCTCAAAGATTCGAGCTGTCTAAGTGTAGTGCACCTAAATCGATCATCCTTTGTTTAATGGCTTTCCCTTCCACACACCTTTAGGCTTTTTCAAAGGCTTCGTTTTCCCTGTAGTCTTATTACAGCCATGGTGCATAATTTGCTTACACAGATCTGGTTAGATTTATACCAAATGGTTAACCTAAGTCAGTCTTTTCCAGAGACAATTGAATACCCTGCAAGCCTGCCGCTCTGCCCACACCCAAACTGCTTACAACATTCTGCCTCTTTGCAAGACATAGAGGACCAGATGGTTTCCTGATTCTAAATTGTCAAGCTCCACTGAAATGACTCCATCAGACAGTTGGAAGAAAGTACGACAGAATTAGAGCTAGACAGCCAATTCTATACTTTAGTTATTTTAAATTGGAGAAAGGGCACAAGTTTACAGAACAACCTTAAGCATGGGGAAAAGTTCAAATTCAGTTATTCAAAACGTTGGCTTTAATGTGAAAGACTCTTCTACAGTTTGGGAGCTGGCAGCTTGGAACGATAATGATATTGACTATCCTTCCACAGAGTTACCCATTTTAGGGGTTAGCTCAGTGCCCTTGCCTTCACCTGAGCTGTGAGGGATTAATTGGTGAGCGACACCTAGACATTTACTTATATTCTGAGGGGAGGGAGATCTATCTTGCAATGTCCTGTAGATGTGGCTTTTCAGGCAACCTTTTACCAGTTGCTTCTGTTGCAGTTAAGGTTAATGATTTGCAGACTCTGCCATTTGTTACTTATTTCTCATTTAAAGAACTGAAGAAGTGAATTGAAGAGAACGGTACAACCCAAGGAATAAAATGACACAGTGAAAGATGGATCGAGGATTCATTTGTCACAAGAAATTCCATATGGTGTTTCATTGCAGTCCTGATATTGAACAGGCTCCAGCAGTGGAAAACTCACAGTGAGACACTGACATTTATGAGCTGATACAGATCTGTCTTTTATTGGGCTTTTTACATTTAATCATTCACAAATGAAGATCTTTTATTTTAGCAGATTACTTTATCTGGCCACATGTTGGTGGTTGCTATTTTATCCCCTTTGGGAACAGGGACCTAGGTATGAAGACAGGTGCTTAGAATTGGTTCATTAACTTATTTTCACTGTCAAATTAAATCCACCATTCTTACTTATAAAAATAAACATCTAAGAAATCAAATGGCATAATTACTGCAGTTTGTAAACAGACGTTTACACATCTTCTGACAAACAACACATTTAGCTACTTAAACAGTGACAATTTTGACCAAATGAGGCAATGGACAGACTTTTCACATGCAATTTTATCCTGGATTGCAACCTCATAGAGTCATACAGCATGGAAACAGACCTTTCGGTCCAATTAGTCCATGCCGACCATATTCCCAAACTAAACTAGTCCCATCAATTTGCGCTTGATATCTGTCCAAATCTTTCATATTCATGAACTTATCCAAATGTCTTTTAAACATTGTAACTGTACCTCCATTCACCACTTCCTCTGGCAGTTCATTCCACTAACCATTCTCTGTGTAAAAAGGTTGCCCCTCTTGGCCTTTTTAAATCCTTCTCCTTTCACCTTAAAGATATGCCCCCTAGTATTGAACTCCCCCACCTTAGGGAAGTAACCTTTGCTATTCACCTTATCTATGCCCCTCATGACTTTATAATCTCTATACGGTCACCCCTCAATCTCCTACACTCGAGTGAAAGAAGTCGCAACCTATGCCGCCTCTCCTTATAACTCAAGCCCTTCATTCCTGACAACATCCTTGTAAATCTTTTCTGAATCCTCTCCAGTTTAATAATATGCTTCCAATATAAGGCAATCAGAACTGCTCACAGTACTCCAGAAGAGGCTTCACCAACGACCTGTACGACCTCAACATGACGTCCCAACTCTCATACTCAGTGGTCTGAGCAATGAAGGCAAGTGTGCTAAAAGCCTTCTTAAACACCCTGTCTACCTGTGATGCAAATTTCAAGGAATTATGTACCTGAATCCCTAGGTCTGTCTGTTCCACAACACTAACCAAGGCGCTACCATAAATTGTGTAAGTCCCACCCTTGTTTGTTTTACCAAAATGCAATGCCTTGCATTTATCAAAATTAAACTTCATCTGCCACTCCACAGCCCTTTGACCCAATTGATCAAGATCTCTGCAATCTTAAATAACTTTCTTCACTGTCTACTATATCACCAACTTTGGTGCCATCCATAAACTTACTAACTGTGCCTCCTATATTATAATCCAAATAATTTACATAAATGACAAACAAAAGTGGACCCAGCACAGATCCCTATGGAACACCACTGATCACGGGCCTCTAGTCCGAAAGACAACCCTTCACCACCACTCTCTGTTTCCTCCCATCAAGCCAATTTTGTATCCAATTGGCGAGCTCACCATGAATCACATATGATCTAACTTTACTGATCAGTCTACCATGCAGAACCTTATCAAAGGCTTTACTACAGTCCAAGTAAGCAACCTCTGAAAACAAATGGGTGACTCACCTGTTTCCCTGAAAGTCCTTCCTAAAACCTTCCTAGTTCTCCCTTTTGCCTTTAAAAACATTGTCAAAACCTATCTATTTCATCAAAGGTCATCAAAGGCATTTGGTTTTCTTCATCTATTTTTCTTCCCTCGAGAAAGCATCTTCCAGCATTTTCTCAGTTTATATTTTGGTTATTCATTCAGGGGAACCTGGGCTTCGCTGGCTCAGTCAGCATTTATTGCCCATCCTTCATTTCCCGTGAGAAGGTGTTGGTGAGCCATTGTAGTCCTTGGGATAAAGGAACACCCGCAGAGTCTTTTAGAGAGAGAGTTTCAGGGTTTTGACCTAGCAACCCTGAAGGAACAGTAATATATTTCCAAGTCAGGATGGGCAACTTGCAAGTGATGTATCTGCTGCCTAATGTTTAATTTATCAATTTCAGTTAATGTTTTTGTCATGACCTTTATGTGAGCAGTGAGGCCAAAAGGAGTCTGTGAACAGAGAGACGGGAAGCTGCGGAACATTTGGAGAGTTGGAGTTAATAGTCCACAGTTAATGCGGACAAGCTGTGCTGTGCCTTCCATTCCTCCTGCTCCTCGTACACCTCTTATCATGAAAGTTGTAAGATTCTGAGGGATCTTGACAGTGTAGATCTGAGAGAATGTTTTCCCTCATCAAGGAACTTAGAATTAGGGGCACTCTTTCAAAATTCAGTGTCTCCTTTAAGACGGAGATAAGGTGAAATTTCTTCTCTCAAAGGACCATTAATCTTCAACTTCTCTTCCCTAGCAAGAGATGGGGGAATCATCAAATATGTTCAAGGCTAAGTTTGACCAATTTTTGATTGATAGGGGAGTCGAGGGTTATGGGTACCATGTAGTAATGGATTTAAGGTCATCCATGGTCTTACTGAATTGTAAATGAGGCCTGAGGGACCAAATGGCTGACTCCTACTCCTCATTCATACAGAAATTTGTTCAGATGCAATCTTGTGAGACCATCTCTAACCACTCCAGTGTTGTCAAGTTTGATTTAATGCTGTATGCACAATATGCTGATAATCCTAAGTAACCACCGCCCCCCCCCCCCCCCGCCCCCCCCCCCCCCCACCCATTGTTAAACTCAGGACAGATTCAATGGTAACCCTTGGCTAGTTGGATCTGTCAATTTCTGTTGAATGCACCTTCTCATCCTGTTGGTAGCAATACTAGTGGTTCTAGTATGATCACCAAATTCCATGAGTCCCTTTTTCCCAAGGTTGTTTGTGATCCCAGCATCAAAGTAGCCTAAAGATGGAGTTGCAGTAGAAAACAAATTTTCTATTATATCTCTGGGAATTCTGTTGAATCTTCTTTATGGATGAGTAACTGCCGGGAGCTAGGTGGATGGGCTGTGAGGACATGCCCCAGGGCTCAATCTCATTATTCACACAAGCACATTTTAGACAATCAGAGCCTGGTGACTCAACCCCTTTTCTTAACAGAAAAGATGAGTCCACAAAATTTACAACTGCACCATAACTTTTGTGATACAATGTTTCCGTACCTATTCAACTGCAAGCCTTTACATTTGCAGTAAAACATGAACAACTGTAGCAAATTTGTGCTGCAGTGTATGAATGAATCTGCCTCCATCCAGACAGCATAGATTTCTCAAAAATGCGCAGATTCATAAAGTGTCAACCCTCGGATTTTGGAAGTATTAATCCCTTTAATTGTTCTTCCTAACCATTTCTTCAGCTTTATTTTTAATTATTCACTTTTGAAATAGAAGTGTAATTTGAAAGATCTGCATTTATTTCCCATCCCTAGTGTGGAATTCCAGCATGTTGACCTAGCAACAATGAAATATCACTGATATATATTGTCCAGTTTGAGATTGTGTATGCCTTGGAGGAGATGGTACTGTCTTTTGTTTGTTTGCATGTAAGCAATGGAGAATGCCTACCTGGGCATCGAGACAGAAAACAGCCCACATGTACTATCTAGCTACCAAACTTATCTCAATATCCTGAGAAAGAATAAACAACAAAAACAAAAAGTGCTGGCCACATTTAGGGGAATGAAAGTTCTCGTAGTGTTAGCAGAACAAAACACAATTTAAAAAGTTAATATATTACAAAGTATATCATGTATCCTGACATTATTGTGCTAACACCACAGTGCTAAAATGTAATGTAACATTACTGCCTCCCTATTAAACAGGTCAAAAAATTCAATGGGAGGAGGGTTGGAGGAGATAGGGGTTTTATTGCAATGTAATTTTTTTCACTGCATGTTATAGCTTAATATTTAAAAAGTCTGTCAATGCAGGATTTACTTATTCCCCAGACAGGACGCATTTTAAAGTAGGTGTTGAAGGATACCTTTACAAAAGGAATCTGGCAAATCTGTCAGTGTATTGCACTTATCTCAAACACAAATCTCCTGTTCACTGCTGTCAGAGTGGGAAACATTGCTGTTTGACTTGAGATTCTCCTTTATTTTCTATTTATTTGTTTACAGTTAACACATCGATAGTTACCATGCATTTGCCAGCAAACCTATATAAAAAAATGTTTTTAAAAAAAAGCATTTATATAGTTCCTTCAGTCCTGTACAGATTGGGTTTACTCTGTGTTATGTTGACTTGTACTGTTGCAATGTATGATTTTCAAGATGCTGCATTCCTTCTCCTGTACAGTATTAAATGTGTTTCTCTTAACTTGGTGATCATGAAGAACTCTATGTGTTGCAGAAGAACTGAGAGCTTCAACAAGTTCTGCCCCTTTCCCCCATGCCTCATTAACATCCTCATTATAATTAGTGATGCTGACTCCCAGACATTGTCTTTGTAACATCTGAAACTGAACCAACTCAACTCAATATGAAATGCAGTAAAAGGTTCTAGAATAATGGAGGCCTGAACTGAACCAGGTGAAAACCAACAGTGTAATAATCAAAACTAATGGTGTCCATTAGACATGCTTTGTCATGTCGAGATCTTTTTATGTACAATAGATCTGAAAACATGACCTTTACACCAGATCATTTTAATGTTTACCAAGAGAATCCTTTTAACTACCTTATGCTCTCCATTTAACAGGTGAGTTAGGTTAATATTAGCCCACTCCATCCCCAACAGAATGATTACAAAGGTGCTGCTTTGATTTCAGGCACCCACAGTAGATTTTACATTTTGTCAGAATTAAGAGTAAAATTTTTTACTTGTCCTTAGTCCATATGTTTACACATATAGACTGTGATGATGCATGGATCAAACATGACCAGGGAGTATGATGTTACATACTGCATACATTATAAATAAACTGACTCCAAAGAGGAATATTTCAAATTAATCATGAGTGATTTTAAACAAGAAATTTTGGGATTTCTTCAAAGCTTAAACGCTTCCATCCAATGATAAGTTGAAGGAAACTCAAACGTTGCTTATCTCATAACCGGGAGCAATTTTGAACAATAAAATCAAATTTATTTGTATGAAATTTAATATTGAGTTTGTTTCAAGATACAAATTGTAACCTTGTACAGTTTCTGATGCTGAGGAGATAGCTTTTTCGCTTTATGCGA